AGCAACATGGGAAAATGGTCTCTGAGGTGGAAAGTGAAGGGTGTGTCGGTCTTCCACAGAAACTTTTCCTAAACTACATTGATGTTTGTAGTTGTAACATGACACATAAAAATGTTAAGATGTATTGAGTATCTTTTCAAAGAATTGATAATTGACAGTGTTCCAAAATCTGCCATATTTGGGAAATATTTCAAAGTATAAAAACATTAGCAGCAACCAAGTTTGTCTTTTTCTAGTTGTAAAATTTTAACACCCTCCTGAGAAAAACAGTTATTTCAGTTCAGCAGTCATAGATTTACCTTTATATTCTAAGGTGAACCCAGATTATGTAACTCAGCCGTTAGACGGAGTGAAACGACACCGTTGTGGCCGCCACGTGTGTGTCCTCACCAGAGACAATCAGTGATCTCATGTCCCAAACTGTGTCTTCAGGCAAACGTTAGCTCAAAGTAGAAACTGATGAGAGATGGAAGGATAAAACTGAAATGCTGTGCTCCTCCGTGAACTGAAAGTCTAAGCTGTGAAATAGTAAAATAACAACGAAGATCTAGAGAAATGGTGCTTGCCGAGTAAACGAAATGTCAGTCTCCTTGGATGCCTTATCTTGTCTCTGACTGATGCGGAAAGGTCAATCAGGGACAATAAGCTGGCATATACAGAGTTCAGATCAAAAAAGTTGATGCGAGTTCATCTAATTTCCTCAATTTAGCGTTTAGCCTCATGTACAAACGACCTTAGGTTTTAAAATATTACGATAATCCTTTTTGACAATTTTATTAAAAAAAACTGAAATATGAAGAAGTGGTAAAGAAAAAACATTAAAAACAATATTAATTAATAAAATTAATTTATCAGCTTCTTTTACCAGTTTATATACATAATTAAAAACTATAATTCTTCAGTTTAAAAGTCTTTTTTTATATTTTTGCTACCAATCTATTAAAGTAATGACTCTGCTAAGAGCTAGGCATGGGGCTGATGTAAGATTTTTTATGTATCATAACCTTGAGTGAAAATAGAAAAGTATAAAGTACCAAAATTGTACAACAAGATCGGTTTGTTTTTTATTGAAAATGTAAACATCTCAGTTATTCCTATTACTGCTAACTTAATCTGTCATACTGAATGTTAATTATGTTTTGTTTTAACCTTTGTTTATTGGGGTTTTGATTTTGATGCAAAAAAAGGCAAAAATATTGAACCATTTGCTTGGTTGTTTGGGCACTTTTGCTCTCAGTAGCTTGAAGTCTGGATACATTGTGGACACTGGATACTTTCATCTTAAGTGATTATTGTCACATTATCAATTATTGACCTCTTTTCACAACATTCTTGGCTTCTTTGTGGTCAGGAGCTTCATCTTGACATTGAAATACTATAATATGCAGTGTTCAACTGTTTGTCTCTAAGCTGAACAGGATTTAACCTCTGAGGGTCTTGACCTAAAGGACAATGCTGTGCTAAGAGCTACAGGTTATGCAGCAGGAATTTCCGTATGTGCTTATAGTTTGCTAGTATAATAAAGCTTCATGAAGACTGACTTCTGCTCCTGGTCTCCTTGTTGAGCGAGACAACAAAGTTAAAAAAATTTCTCTCAAACTTCCCTTAAGAGCAGACTGTTAATTAGATCACCAGGGATTTCTGATGTGAAACTTAACACCAGATCTCGTGTTTCCTCTTTGTTGTGTTATACCCAAGACAGGTGAGGTCACTTCGACACAGGCTTCCGACACCATGCTGAATAATTCAGCAAAGGTCAGGAAGCTGCGTATGTGTGTGCCTTTGTGTGTTTATGCTTCTGTGTGTGTAGGGATTTCATTAAGCATTCACAGCGTAGTTTCCTCTGTGGTCTGGGAAGAGCCCTGCGACTCACTTTAGATCACATTGCAGATATCTAATTAAAGCGGCTAGATTGAAAACTGGTTTTCAATCCAACACAGATGTTTTAGTTTCAGTATTTGGGTTTGATGTAGCATCTGTCCCTATATTTCTAACGACAGAAATGTTTGGATCATTCATTCATGCATGCACTGACTGTTCCAACAGATACTTTTATTTTTCATATATTCTCAATTGGACACAAGCTTGGACTTTGATAACACTTGAGTTGGGTGCATGTTTGATGTTCTACTAGAAAGTGAACCTCCATTTCAGTAAGAAGGATTGTCATGTAATCAGTTCAGTCTGACTGACATCATTGCCCTGCTAAAGAAAAGGATTCTGCCACCATATAGAAATGTTGGTAGAAATGATACAGGTCATGGTTATGAGCTGTCTGCTTTCAGTAGCTGAGATGCTAACAGTGAGATTACGTCGTTAACCCAGTAGTGCTGACAGTGGTTTGACCTGATTTGTTTTCCATGGTTTAGTGTGTTGATCAGTTCCAGTGACATTAGTTCTTCACTTATCAGTGACGTAACGCAGTGGTATGGAGTCCAGACAAACACATCAGAATTTTGACTGATGACTGGAGAATGCTGTAGCCATCTTTACTTTGTACATAAATTCCTTCAAATTTGAGAAAATGTTTGTTTTTGTGATTATAAGCAGTGGACTATATGATGTTTAAAACATGTTTATCTCTGCCATCACTTCAGCCCTCAAAAGTGTGCTATGATCAACCTTGATTTTCCCATTGAAATAAATTGATTAAGATAGATGGCTCGTTGTTCCCCTGTTTCTGTGTAATTTAATTTGTCTTACATCTTATCCAAACCTTATCCAGCCTTCCTCTTGCAGTACTTCCATGTCGCAGCGGAAGGTAAATAATTTATGTTCAGCCTTCTTGCTGGTAGATATGAATCACTCAAGAAGAGCAGAATACATGTGCTCATTTCAGACTGACTCTTCACTCCAAAGACACAATCAGCATGGTGATGTTGAAGCTGCTCTACTTCACAGCATCTCTCTGTAGAATAACGCTCCGCCTCGTCATTCTGGCTTCATCGCTTTGCCATGATGGCTTTGCCATAAAGTTGTCACAGAAGTTGGACAAACAAAAACCCTCAATAGTTTTTTTGTCCTTGATGTTTGATTGCGTGGTTTTCAATTGTCAGATAGAAGCTCAAATTTAAATACCAATGTGATGGCAAATTGTGAACATAGCAAATCTATATGCTGTCACAGACAAAGGACTCCAGGATGACCAGTAAATATAATTACCATTTAAACTACTGCAGGTAGTTTGTTGTTCCAGCTTGGACCAGATGTGTACAACCTGTTGGCTGCTGAGTTAAATTTAAAATTTGTGCTCCTTCGCCATATCATGTTGACAGTAGTTTTCTTTTGCACTGAAACGTGCACTAATATTACAGTCTTTTATTTCCAAACTCAATTTTCTTACTGGTTTGTCAAAAGCCTCTAGCTCGTCTTTGCACCAGCGTCCAGAGATAAGGCAGTCTTTTTTTTAATTTAAATGTAGTAATGGTAATAAGAAAGCTTCATAAAAAAAAGTTTATAAATTATTTAAGTGACCCTTAGTGAAAAACCGCTGGCAGCTGAATCCTCAACTCTATGAACGTCAACACTGGAGTCCCACAAGGGTGTGTACTTGGTCTGCTGCTGTGTACCTTGTACACTTTTGACTAACTCCTCATCAGATTTGCTGATGACATACCTGTGAAGTTTCATATCTTTAAAAAAAATTTATGAGAAAGAAATGAAGAACGTATCATCATTAAGTCTGAACATCTGTCACCAAATGAATGCTGGCAAAACTTAGGACCTGGTGGTGGATTTTAGCAGAGAGCGACAGTTTTTCTACACGTACCTAATAGTTTTGACAGCACAACTATTAGGTATTTGAGAGTATGACTACCTTCAAATACCTGGCTGTTGTTATCTCTGAAGACCTCACATTTATTGAAATGTGAGGTCTTCAGAAACAAAAAAGCACCTGCACCATCTGAGGCAGCAGACCAGGTTTGGTTACACAAAGTCTTTTTTATTCTAGGGTCATGAACATAAGCCGTCACATCCTAGATGAGGAGCAGCTACAAACAGAACCTTATGGACAATTGATCTGCGCTGCACAGCAGTACTGCAGATCACCTCTCCCTTCTCATCCTCTCACCATCAAAGAGATCATGTCTGTGAATAAAAGACTAAGAAATGTTCTGGGGGATGGTTGCTGCTCCTCACTGTTACATTTCAGATCACATTTCACTTTTCTTCATCTATGAGCCATGAAACACTTCCACAGCTTGTTCTGCACATTGGCAATTTTTTACACTGGTAGTTTTCTGTAATTCGGTCAATGTTTGACAGAGCAACTCCACATAATATTCTGATATGTTTGTGGGGATATTAGCAAGGGTTGATGAGCAAAAAATGTTTATAGAATATAAAAACTTTGTTGCGCTCGGCTTACTGTTCTTCATGTCCTGTCCCCTCACTCCCACTCACACTCTGTCTCTGGAGAAACTTGGTGCCAAAGTCTGACTAAATCTTTGTATCTGTCTGTGCTTAAACCCTGTGTGTGAATGTGTGAGTGTGTTTGTATACTGTAATCCTGTTTTTAGCTCTGGAGTTCCTTCAAGAAGTATAAACACAGGAGTGTTTTTGTGTTCGCACAGCGAGTTAATTGTCTGCATGACTAAGCAGAGGATTAGTGTCTCATCAGGATGACCTGTTTGTACCTCAAATTAAGACGGCTACGTTGGACATGTACCTGCTTTAAGAAGTTAGAGATTGAAATAATTTGACATTTGGTAGATGTGGATGCAGCGGACAGATTTAATTTTAAGCAAAGTAGCAAGTAGTTAGATGAGTCAGATGTGGATTGTTGCTCAGCCTTACTGAGCAACAAACCAATGGTTTGTCCTGACTGAGGGCATATTTTCAAAAGTGCTGATGGTCCATAATATTTGCAGCTTTCCTCAGAGGTTTTATAATCCTGCACCAAGTGGATGATTTTGAGCTCAACCTAGTAAAACAGAATTTTCACTAACTAATCTGTCTTCTGTGTTTTTGTTCCTTCCCTTTCTCGGTTCTTCTCTTAGATAAGTCGTTGCTTGAAACCCGGAGGCTGCTTCGTCTCCATTACGTTCGCGCAGCCCTTCTTCAGGAAACGTCTCTACGCACGCACCGTGTACAACTGGTCCGTCAGACATGACAGCTATGGTGAGGGCTTTGAGTATTTTGTGTACGTAATGACCAAAGGAGACCAGCTCAGCCCAGAAGATGCGGCTCTGGAACGGAGGCTTCTGGAGGAACCCAAACCCCAACCCACCAGCTGTCCCACCCCTCAAGACGAAGAGAATAATGACTTCCTGTGCAATATTAACTTATGATGTTGCTGAAATGTGGACATTAATCTCAGGAATATTTTATGTCTTATCTTACGGAAGCAGAAGCGAAGTGACATATTTATTACTTTCAGTGTTGAAAATAATTTTATCTCAATTTTTAGTATTTTTAATAATTTAGCTTTTGTAAACTTTTATACATGTTGTTGCTACTATAGAAATATTTCTGCAAATTCATGTGATTGTAGTTTTTGTTGCTTTTTGTAAAATTTGAACAGGTATTTTTAGGATTGTATTTTTTGTTAACACAACTCAACTGAATTGGTCTAGCCATAAACCAAATAGTTGCCTTAAGGATAGTGTTAGATTAGGAAAAAGTGAACAACCACAGCTAAATAAACAGGCAGCCTTTTTAGAATATTTTTTTTCTTCCTGTGCAAACATTTCAGCATTTTTCCATAAATTTTTCATCAAAAAGGAGCAGGTTGGTGTGTAACATAAGATACAGGCACTAGGTTAAAATAATCATTTGCTATTTCATATTGTAATCACAAACAAAACCACAAACAGCTCCTGTGTTTTGCGTTACAGTTTGAGTTTGCCACGTTGAAGCAATTTGCAAAACAAGTCATCATGTCTCAATCCGACACCTGAGAGCCACAGCAGTCTGCCTGTTGAGAAGGTGTTAAAACTCCATCAGTATATCTGTCAGCGTCCTCCTCTCGTCTGCTGCTGGTGTCGGTTTTATGCTCAACACAAAAGCTTCATGCTCAACACAAAAGCTTCAAGGTGCTTCATGCCATTTCTCACACAGCTGTCAAGCAGCATTTATGCACATGTGCTTCCAGCTACAAGGAACGACCCACCCTGCATGTTATTTGTTCAAGACACTCGATACTGGATGTCGGGTCATGTGCCCGCCTGCTGCTTAAATATAGCCCATTAATGACACACACAGCCATGCGTGCAGACAGGGAGGAGGACTTCTGACTGGAGGGGAGGGGATCGCATTAATAAAGTAGAAATCATTTATTTTTAATTCTCCACCGAGATCTAATTAACGCCTATTTTTAAGACTTGGGGAGAGAAGATGTGATTTTTCTGAAGGCTGTTCTTTCCTTACACGGTTAGCTTGTTGGAGCAACATCATGGTTTGGTCAGCTTCAGCGCTGTTGTTTATCAGACTAATCTCACTGTATGGTCTACTTTTATTTTAGCTGGCACCGCAAAATAAAATTATACATATTTAATGGACTTACAATATTAATGAGCTAAGTGAAGTACAATGCTTTGTTCCAGACACAGATTTCTTTTTTTCTTTTTTTTTTATGCAACTTTAGATGAAGCCGCTAATTATGAGATTGTCATGTTTTCAGTAACATCTAAAGCTGCCTTTCCTGTCTGGAGTGCAAACTAAAAGCCTTGCCATCCAAAAAGGCCTGCTAAACTAACCCTGTGGCCTGTTATTAATTATTATGTTGCTGTCATCGTTTCAGCTTCAGAGGCTAGAAACTGCCTCATGTGCATTACCACCTTAAAAACTGACACTGTGTAATCTACACTCAGAATCTGTTTAGAGTTCTGTTACTGTGTTGTATTAACGCCTTATTCTCATGCTGTCTTTCCAAGTTGACTGTTAACATTATGTACAGAAATACAAACTTATTTCAAGATGTTTCTGTGAAAAAGAAACAAAAGTTCTAACATACGTACATGCTTAGTGTTTGCCATTTGTTTTTGCATAAAGATGCTTACAGTGTTTTAAAATAAATGCATGTTTTACATTCAGTGTCCTAATATCACCATAAAATTTGGAGAGATTTTTCTACAGAAAACTGAAGCCAGTCTGGTCTAACGTCATTCATGGGAATGATAGGGGTTTTCCGCATGGGCTTTGGTTGTTTTGAGTCTAAAACTCAACTGGAGTGTTTGTTGCAGTAAAGCTCAACATCAGTTTAATCTAACTAAAGCACACAGTTCTAGTTAAAGTCCAAGTAGATATTCAATAATTCCACATGTTTAGCAATGGTAAAACAAACAAAAAAAATGTTTTCCTATTTTTAAAAAATTACACTCAGCCAGTCGGCTTTTAGATCATATCTACAGGTTGATATGGGGACTTGGTATTCCCTGCACTTTTTTCAACGTTAATTTTTGAAGTTTCCCTTTTCCCTCTAACCCTAACCACCAAAATTATACATATTTAATGGACTTACAATATTAATGAGGTCAATGATGCAGCTCAAATTTGTGGATTACTGAAACTACTGCTTAAAAGGGCAAAAACATACAGTAGATGTAAAATAGTTGACTTTATTTTAAGAGGTGTATCTTTCAGGCCTTTTAATAGAACAGTCAGTTACCTCTAGTTATGTATCAAACATAATGTAAAAGAAAGTTTGTTTCACAACTTGATGCCTTGAAAATGCCCCTGTCTCTTTCAGAAGCTACTGCACCATGATGTCACAACAAGGCCTCTCCATTGTGTTGTTTGTAACCATTCATAGGAACATTGGATTGAGAAGTAGTTGGCACGACGAGCTCAGTAGAAATGTAGCTCCACCAGGTGTTTACTAATTGCTGCCGCCACTAGTCTGGAGGAGCTGTGTGGCGAAGGTGGTGAAGGGTTGCTATAAATGTGCCCGTAACATTTGCTCTCATCTCATTACCTTTTCCTTTTACAATATGCAAACACCCACACCCACATGCACACATACAAAACTGTGTTTACACCATGTTTCTGGCTACCAATTGACTTCCATAGTGACAAAAGGGGTGTAGCAGCCTGGCTACCTAAGCAGGTGGGTTCAGAAACCGTTTGGAGCACATCTGATCTGGACAACAGGGAGGGTGCTTATGTAAGTTTAAAATGGCCTCAGCTTTTATATCGACTAGAGAGGCTTCAGCAGCACTGCTGCACTGGGACGTACGAACATTTGATGGATTTATTACCCTGTGGATGGATGGAGGCTGGATATGTCTGCACACGAACGAGGAGAGGATTTCTACTCCCTCAGAGTGCCGACACTTTCCTTCAGTTTCACTTTACCATAGTGTTGTGTTCTGTGCTCATATGGAGGTATTAAAAACTAGAAGTGGTTTACATTAGGTTTCCAGCTGCCTCGGAGGGACTGACTGATGTGCAGTGGCAGAGACCCTACTGAGAGATTTAACTCGCCTGGACTTAAGTTATGTAACCACAGAGCAAAAAACAAGCCTCACGCATGCATGAGAGGTTTGCCATTGTTTACATACGAATCCTGTCTTTCTGATATTTGTTCATTTTTCTCTCACCTGAGCTCGAGTCATTAACCTTTTTCCTTTATGTGTTTTTATATTGGTGAGGAAAAACAGAAACCCGATTTTACTTTTTTTTTCTGTTTCTCCCAAAAACTAATTGTCCTCCTTTCTTTGTTGCCCACAGCAATAATCTATTGCATGCTTAGTGTTTCACGCTCTCTAACTTTTTCAATCCAGTCAAGTTCATTTGTGCAGCACATTTCAGCAACAAGGCAGTTCAAAGTGCTTCACACAGTAAAAACATAATGCCATCGCTCCTCTTCTCAAGCCCCGCCACCGCCATCATGTCCTCTGGGGGCATCGTTTGGCCCTCGGTGATTTGTTTTATGGGTGTTATGTGGCAGATCATGCGACTCAAAAGGTCAGCGGTATGCTTTTATAAATATGCCGAGAGCTCATTCTGCTCAATTTGTGTTTGAACCGAGTCACGACGCAGCTCTTTTGCATCCCTCTGAACCGCCAGCTCCCTGCAGCAGCAATCATGAGCTGCTTTTCTTAAGGGAAGTCTTCCCAGGCATTTGTTGGCCTTTTGTAGTTTTCAAAAATATATATATATCTAACTCACTTTTCACTGCAAGATTGTTGAAAAAGTTTAAAGAGTGGATGAAATCACATAGTTAATAGCAGGTTTTAAAATGTACTTTTCCCCACCTTAGACACTTTTGTTGTTCTGTTTTTGTCACTTGTAAATGCTTCTGATCATCAATAAAAGAATGATACTGATCACGTGTCACACTCAAGGCCTGGGGCCCAAATCTAGCCCGCCATAGCTTTTTATGTGGCCCTTTAGACTCCAAATTACATCAATAAGTTCTTCCAGTTTTTCCACAAATCTTCAAAATTCTCGCAAAATCACCACATTTCTTTCTGATTTTACTGCAAATTTGTTCAAAAACATTGAGATTAAGTGACTGCAACCTCAATTCATGTCAAGTTTTAGTCCGTAATTGATGTAGCAAGTAATAAAAAAGTAACCTTTAACATTATACATTAGTGCAAATATTATTTAAAAAATCATTACAAACATTTCTAAATCGGCCCCAACAAGATCTGAAGTTTTGACTGAAAACAAGAACCAACAACAACAAAAAAAAGAAACATTAAAACAGTCAAAATCCTCGAGGAGCAGCTATTTATTGATATTTTAACTATTTAAATGTTTCATCAATGTATTCTGGCCCTTTAAGAATATCCAGGTTTTTGATATGGCCCAAAATAAAAATGAGGTTGACACCCCTGATATAGAAGACAACTTGAAATAGAAAATGATGTTTTCAAGCAATAAACTCTGTTAAGGGAATCTAAACGACCTGCATCGATGTGAAAAGGTAATGGCACCATTATTAAATCATGAATTATATTTTATCAGCTACATCATATGCAACCTGATTACTGTCAAAAAATAGAAAGTTTTGACAACATGAAGTAGACAAGATATCTCAAAAGATCACATCATGCCCTGATCTAAAGAAATTCAACAGTATCTGAGAACATCATTGATTTCTATTTGTTTGGTAAGAACTGCAAAGTGCTTTCTCGGGTTTTTTCAGTGAACCACAGTGTGTGATTATCAACAAATGAAGAAAACAAGGGACAGTAAAGAACCTTCCCCGAAGTGGTTGGTGCACCAAAATTACTCAGAGAGAACATCAACGATTCATCCAGGATGTCCAAACGACATCTGTAGTTCTCTCTTCCCTGAGGTAAGGTAAAGACAGATTGATTAGACCAAAGTGGATCTAGCTGGATGGTTGTGCTTTCTGTTACATCAGGGCATAAATGTAATTGAACGTAAAGGAACATCATAACTGCAAACAAGCACGGTAGTGGTTGTGTGATGCTCTGGGGCAGCTTTACTGCTGCTTGATCACAGGTTTAA